CTAGTTTATTTACATTGACAAAAATTGTGACCACATCCGCTCCCTTGCCTGCATCACTTTGATCCACTTAAATGTATGTAGGACAAGTATACGTCAGCCAACCAAATCATGGAATACCTCATTTGGATAGCAAAGTAACGTATATGAAGTAAGTAGGATCTCAGCTGGTCATTTTTCCTCAGTTTAGTGTTTTTGGTGATTTTTCGTGAATAATGGTTTCTTGCGGATAAGAACAGTCCCCATTCTAAGGAGTTTCTGGCTTAGTATACTTTAAATGCCTTATTATGACTCGATGCGGCGTCGGCTAAGCTTGCTCAGTGTATGCAGGACAGAGTGGAGATGAGTAATTTTCTGAGTGGTGTTACATGCTTATTGAATGGCTAACGCTTACTAGCTGGCCAGTCACTGCATCTTAATTTTAAGTTTAGGGGTAGTGGACAATGAATGTAGAAGATCTAGATGCTGTCTATCATTTGCCGTTGTCTGGAATAGCATCATGGTTTATTGTGGTGATAATTTGATGTAGATGCTGCCTATAAGAGTTCATCTGTAGAGCCCGTCAGTGTTATGATATAACTTTTAAAGAGTACGCTTATCTACCTGTTACAATGTATGACCTTCCAACCTGATTAGAAGAGGGTGTCATAAACTAATTGGAGTAGAACTGAGTGAGTTACAAACAAGGGCTGGGGTGTTAAAGGTGTCGTGTCAAAAAATATTAAAGTATGGCAATATAGAAACTTAGCGTACTATATTTGGAGCATCAGTTACTGCAAGAAAAATTAAAGTTTCGGAGGAAGGCCCGACATGTCTGGAGCTTTTGTTCAAAAAACTTGAATTTCAGCTTTTAGTTGGCCCTTAAGGTCCCGATATGACGGTAGTCATTTGTCTTTAATATGGCGTTTAGGTTGGCGCAGTCAATAAGGCATCTTCCCACGTTTGGGGTGTAAATAGATTGCGTTTTTTTCTTCATATGACGTACATAATCAAAGCTATGACTTATTTTAGCAAATGCCTAAAGTAAACATTAAGTCAATACGATCCTTGTGCTTCTTTCCAATTTAAGTATATATGCTCAACGTGAAAAATTATATAGTCTAACTTGAGGAACACCTTTTGGAAGAGGCAATAGGAATTCCCAAATTGTTGGTTAGATGCATGGATGACTATTTTATCATCTCGCCTTATGGTAAGAAAAGCTTAGATCATTAGTTCCCTGCTTTCACATAACTAACGTGAAAGTACCAATACATTCAGAAAGGACATATAAGAGAATAGATCCATATCCTTTTTGGATGTTCTATTAATTAGAGGGTAGGTTAGGAACAGGTGTTTATAGGAAGCCAAACAGAGTAAGATATTTACTGGATTTTCCTTCCAATCAAAGTTATAAAGCTAAGGTTACAATTTTGAAGTCAATGATTATTAAGAGTATGAGACTAGTGGACAGTAACCATTTGACGAAAGAGATGGAATGGCTGAAAGATTTATTCCTGAAAAATGATTATCCTTTTGGCCTAATTGATAATAATATGTGATTACTGAGGCTTAATTTTCAGAAAAGAAATTGATAGACAGAGAAAAATTCCTGGCCTTCCTTGAAATTCACATCTGCCATGTAAACCAAGGTCACTCGATGCAATGTGGTTGAGTTGTTAAGGTGTCGAGACGGCACGCTGTAATGCCATGGTTCGACTTCCGCTGAGGGTGTTGATAAGACCTAGGCGCGGTCGAAACGGCAGTCCAATCAGGCCTGCATGAGCCTAACTTCAGGGCAAGCAAGTCTATGTGAAATTAAATGGAAACGTCAGATCTACTCAAATCATTGCGGGAAAATTCAACTACAATTCCTTCATCATCTTAAACTAAATAGGGTGAATATGACTCAGCTACTCAATTTGTCCCCTCAGTTTCTCACACTTGTACAACATGTTAGATAAATCCCATCAACCAAACCAGGTGTACGAGATTACGCAGCTCCAGTCATGCCTTTCCTTGGGTTGTTAAGCCTTGATGATTCTGGACTGAGAGCTTAGGACAGGTGGTTTCGCAAATTAACTGGCACATTTACAAGCTTACATTTCATCTCAACCCGTATCGCTTATGGACTTACGTACACTGCCAGGTTTTATTCTTGGGCCTTAAACCTTAATGATCACTTTTTGATCACTCTGATTTGGGACCAGTTTTGCGTATATCCATTAACGCATACGCACACACTCGATTAAAAGTGGCATCGACAACATTAAGGATAATTAGCCATACCATTCTATATCTATCTATGCCCATACATTTTAGTTTTATAGTTATGAGTAAATATAAGGGGTTTCATAGAGCCGGACAGTCTTCTTGACTTAGTGTTAACGTGACAATTTTACAGGAGTGTTTTTTATCTCTGATAATGTACATAATGGATGAAAACTTATCCTTTTTTGAATCGAATCGAAGGAGGATGTCTCATGAACTGCTTCTGTTTGGACCTTGAATTAAAGCTAAACAGCTGTGTTACAACGGGAATCAGCTATCATCCTTTGGTGAGATCGAACTTCTAATCTCTTCCTGTTGCACATTATAAAAATGATAGTATCCACAACAATGTTTTTTTTATGAGACTCATCGATAACCAGTTACTCTTCGCATCTATAAATATATATAAATCTAGGTCTCTTTCTCTTTTAAATCTTTGTAATATTTGGCCTGCTAATCAACTCAGATATCTTAAATCTTAAAAGAGATGGTAATTTAGACCTCACTCTTAAAAAAGGATATTACACCCGAATCTACTCCATCCTTTGTTCTTGTTTTTTTTGACGATTATCCTAATGTTATACTGGATTCAGACTCTACACCATTTGGGAGGCATTCATCTCACTATCAGAACGCGACCAGTACGATATTCTTGTATCTCTTCAGGCCCGCAACCCCCGGGCCTTAACTGCCAAAGGCGACGATGACGCCGATTTTCTCGGTAGCATCGATGACGATAATACAGGCTGGGAAATACTTTCAATTTCAGAGGATAATCAATCACCAACGCTTCTTTCGTTCAGTAGAAATCGAGCTGCCAAGCGAAGGAGTCGGAAGCGCTCCTCTAACAACATTATTGTAAAGTCTCCAAAGAATAAGGATGAGCCATCTGGTAAATTTTTCCTTTTTACATTATTACTTGCGCGAAGATATACATTATTCAACAAACAATTATTATCATTTCATTAATTCATTCGTTGACCAGATTATAGAAACTGGGGATTTTTGTAATTTTTTTATTTATAGTCTGCATGCTAATATTCTTGTAGGCAAAGTTTTACATGCACTAGAATTAATAGCATAGCCACCTTAGGTAGTCACAGTGTAGTGAAATATATTTATAATCTCGCTTCAATATTTACGACCCGGTATCGAATCTCGCCTGGATTGCTGATAAAACCTAGGTAAGGGCGAAACTGCAGTCGGGCCTGGATGATAATACCTTTGGGAAGTAAGGCTAAGTTGAATTAACTGGAATCGTAACGTCTACTGATATGATTTTGGGAAAATTCTATTATTAGTCCTTCATTATCTTACACGAACTAGGATGAATAAGGCTCCTTTTCAACTATCCATTATGAAGAATTAACAATTACATTAAAATTTTAGCCACATCTATTTAGAGTCATCTTTTATGAAATATTCGGAACCTCTTTTTAGATTGAGTTGTTACATGATCATCTGGTGGCACCTATGTGAAGGAGACCTGCCGGCCTATACATAATTTATGTGAAAATAAAACATCTTGCAAATGTTTGTCGGTATAAAAATCATAACTCTTCGAAGACATCACATGATGGCATAAAGCAGTAATCCTAGGAGGATATTGAGGCTATGTCAGTAAACGAAGGCTTAGGGAGTCTATAGAGATCAGCAAAACGGCCAAAACCCTGAATAGAAAGTGCGAGTTTGGGAATTTAGCCGAAACTACTAGTGTTCTTTGGATTGAATTAGAGGGGGAGTGAATAAGAATTATCAACAAACCTCGAATCTTATTTGCGCCCACTTCATATGACTCCGTAGCATTGCATCCACGCAACTCATGCAATGGAAAGCAATTACATGCGGCAACATTACAGAGCCAAAAATTAGGAGGATGCATCTATTCTGATACGAGTGCATCTACGTCACGCATACTCGGCAGTCACTTAAGATGTCATTCGCAGCCACTACTTTCCAGCAAGCATGTAAGGGAAGCACTGAATAGTTAATCAAATAATGTGATTCTTCATCAAGTTGAAAAAGTAAGGCCATAAAAAGTTGGTACGATTGCAGCTCTTCACCTTTCTTGTCTTCGTGTCTGCTGAATTATCATCAAGGCTGGTTTCACGCTCTTCTGATGTCTTTCACTTGACAGACAAAAGCTTAACACGCCAAGGACGTTCGCAGAAATCTACCATCATGACTCATAGGCAACGCTTCTTTGGCTTCCAGTGAGGCCAATTTGCGCATCCCTCTCACTCGCCTCTTCAGACAAAATGAAAGGTAGTACTTTAGCATAAATTATTCCTGCTTTCGCAAGTTTAAGTCTCTTCGCTTGTATATGGTCAATGACAAGCCTTAATTCTCCCTAATATGTTAAATCCGCTATACTCTTCCTTTGCTCCGTTTTCATTTTTAGTCAGCTTTTCGGATGTTCAGACTCGAATTTCCATTTCGAAGGTAAAGTTGGTTGTAAGGAATTCCTGAAGTGCTCTCACAGCAAACCGAATGAGGATTTCCACGCAGTGAAGACTATTGGATTACGCGAAGGAGCCCTCGGCTCGTCGTTCTGCTACCTTGATGAACCCGTGCTAAGCTTTCATCTGTCATATGACATACATCGTCAGAGTGAGAAACTAAATTTTACTTTGGTCAAGTCACAACACTTACCAGAGGATTCTTTGAAACCCAGCTTGTTTCATTTAATTTCCTTTCACTGTACCCCGAGAGGTTCGTCGCGCCTTGAACGTCATGCTTTTTGAGCAACTTAACGTGGCTAAGGTCTTGTCGCTTAGATAGTAACATGTTTTTATCTTAGCCTTCACATTCTTTTTCAGGTCATGTTGGTTGTTCTGGTGAGATAACAAGGTGATGTCGAGTCTAGCACTCTTTTGAATTTAACATGTACGGATTTTCCACCACTCATACAAGACTATTCGCATCTGGTAAATATTAGTACCAGTCGGCTTACTATTGCTATAGTGTTTACCAGATCCTAATGCCCAACATTGCCGAATTAAAAAAAATGATGCCAACTTGTCGAAATTGTGAATACGGAAATATTTAGGAATCCTAAAAGTATAAAAATGTATCCTTAATGATATTTAAGAAGAAGGGGCGCATAATGGCTATTGATAACTTTATTGTTCTCAGACTGATTGCGGATCTGCCTATGATGAATTGCAATGCATCAGGCTTTGACTTTAACTTATTTTTTTGATGGTCCGCGACTCTTCATAAAATATATGTTAATGAAAAAAGCCAGTTTATTTTAAATTATGATCTTACATAAATTTAGCTACTTCCATCATTTAAAAACTCAAAAAATTCATCACAAGATTCATATCATACATCCCTACAGTATTAAGATTTCTGGATATTTTACCTTATATCTGTGCTTCACACTTTTTCCATTATTTCTTGTGTTGTATTCGACATACGTACTTACTTATGACTACTTTTGCCATCTTAATTAGCAAATCTTTTCGAGTTTTATTGTATCAAGAACTTGCTTTGCTGCTTTATCCAAAAGAGAAATTTACTTTAAGCTATAATTTAGCCGTATAAAGGCTCCGAATTTCATCTGTATAATTACTTATTTTTATTTCGTGTGGGAATCTATTGTGAAATTACTACGTCTTGTTCTACGCTGACCTTCGCTAGTAAGCGGTCGTGATGTTTTTCCTTGAGTCGAAATGTCACAAACCCTGATTATCTAGGGTAAATTCTACACTCCATTATGACCAGGGTGGTTTCATACATACAGATTTTGAAATCAGATTAACATATACCTTTTTTCGAAAATTCATTTTGTGATCAGATAGGGAGCAGCAGTTTAAAGTTATTGACTTTGTGTTGGCTTTAAACTGGGTATGTTATATGGATATTGCAAAAAAAGGTTTTCTTGAATACTGCAACGGCCCGAGTAAAGTAGTAAAATTAAAACAACAGATCAAGGTGATTTTGCGCGCTAAAATAAGAGTAAGTCTAGCAATGATATATCAGGCGATGCAGCTAGACCCAGCATCTATTCTTAATCCATAGTTTTATTTTCACTTATATAATAACCTCACTCTTCTGCAAAAAAAGCTTTGGGACAATACTGGTGATCATTGGCGAACTATTACATAATTTCAGTTGATTGTCTAATTAAATACCTCGATGGTATGAAGACCAAGATGGTGTGGCCTTTTGTGTGGTCGAAGTCTCGTTTCGATGTATAGAAGTTGTTTGACCTTGTTTTCTCAACTTGATCATATTGGTAGAAAGACTTAGAGGAACGCATCTTGTCGGGAGTCCATTGTATGCATAATCATTTCCAAAGTCGGATCATGGACGTGGTACATTCCCAGACGTTTCGCCGGCCTCGTCAGTGAGTTTTGCCATTCGTAGCACCATAATACAACTCGTCAAAGAGACAAGTGAAGCCGATCCTTTGACTAAACGTGTGCTAGCCAGTTATGGTATCTCCTCTTCTGCCCTGGCCTATTCACATTTCCTATATCCTCCTATCAAGCCTTCACTGTCACAATTTTTTACTTGCTTAATTAAATGCGGTACAGTGTGTCCTTTTGAGCGGCTTTCATGAGAACCCTCCGTACTCCACGCTGGCCTTCTCACCCCACTTCATCCTTGTGCTGGGAATGTTGATCAGTCTGCCATATTGTTACGCCGTCCTCCTTCCCTAGATCTTACCACAGTTTCTCTCTTGTCCTGTAAGATCCTTCTAACCTCTCCCTGGTTCACACATTTCACTCGACCCCTGCAACCCCATCTGTGTCACTCGAGGCGTTATTCGCCCTCTCCTGCCTCTTGGTGACTAATTAGAGGCTAAAGCCTCTGAGTTAGTCTCATGGTCAGGCCTTTGCCACATGGATCACGTCTCTTATAAAGTCTAG